AGCCGCTTGCTCGTTTGCCACCTTATGCTATAAAAAAAAAATTAAAAATCTGCGTGCTACAACCCATAGTAGTGGGTATTGGCTTCGGATTGTCGGTTTCGCAACAATTTTTTTTTCTGTAGGCAAGTTGTTATCTTTCTGAACAACCCACATATTTTTAGACACACCCTACTATAATCAGCGAGTACATAGAGACTTAGTCGTAGCTAGCCGGGGTAGCGTAGCTTAGCTGTACTACGATAACGCCTGTAATGCTCTCTAAAAAAACTACAAATTTTATTATATCCTTAAAGACGATAATTGACGGAAAACTGTGAAGATTTTAAGTGTCTAATAGATTTCTATAGCAGTGAAAACTTACAAGTCATTTAGGCTATCGACTGCTCAACAAGAAATAGCAACGTCATCCAGACGAAAGAAACGTGGATTATTTTTATTTTAATACTTATAAAATCAGTTGTAACCGTTTAAATTTACGACTACAAATTTTGACAACACCTGTAAACGTATAATTTTACTAAAAATGTTTGTAGAGTAATAAAGAATGTATATAAGTCATGTTGGAAATATGTATGATTTCTAATAATAACAACTTTTTTTATTTATACAACTAATTTTGTTTCTTTTTAATTTAGAGGCATGTCTATACTTTTCTAACGCCTGTTGCGTGGCCGTGTTGTTTAAGAGTTCGTGTTAAGCAGGGCTTTGTAGTCTCAGAAAAACGATGAAAAACATTTCAGAGATGCCAGGAGGCGAACAATGAGTGATTGAAATTCTCGCAAGCTTTCATCTTGTCTTCAAAAATGAAATGAATATGAGAATATTACGAAGATGTTGGGAAATTTTATATCAGAAAATTACCTTTAAGCAGCTACTAGTCTAGTAAAAGGCAGATTTGATGTTCAGTTAAACATTTCAGTATAGTTTTACCCACACACGTAGCTTAACTGATCAGATTGAATGTTAACTTAAAACTGTCACAGCTGAGCGTAGCGGGCTTTAGCTGAGAAGATAGAAATATAGTTACACCTTATAAATCGAACATGAAAGTGATTTGAGTGAGAGTACACCATCCATTCACTTGAATTACAAAGCTACCTAGATGGGAAACATCAAGTTGTCAAATATTAATGAAAATACTACCGCTTAATAATAATTACATAAGCATTATAATACTAATTAACACTAAGTTTAATTTTTTCTGTAATTTATTTGGCTTCGATACTTCAGTTTTTTTTCCGTTGTAAAATGTACCTGAAAGGGAAGGGATTGGCTCCTTAATCAATGATTATACAATAAAGAATCTTTATTATTGTTATTACAATTGGTTTCGTGTATTACAAAATATGAATTTGTATTATCGTGACATGCTTGGGACAGAGCGTTTATAACGAATATTCGTGAGAACGTTTTCGAATCATCGACAAAATTTGTATTAGATTTGGACAGCGCCTCTACCGGACGTAAAGTTCATCAACAAATATTATAATTTTGAGGAAGTTACGAATATGTTCTCGCAACACTTTCGGAATAGACCCTCAGCAGACGCGTGCCGACGTTGACATTTGCGCAATCACAAATGTCAGAAAATAAATGACATTGTTTGACATTGCGAGTTAAATATTCTATTACAATGTTTACCTTCGAAATTACATTTAGCACGAAAACTGTATATTAGGAATTTCAATTTAATTACCTTGTTCATATTTGTAAAAAAAAAAAAACAAAAACATGTGATAAGAGATTAACACATCATTGATTATGAAATTAAATGTTCAACCAACATTTCAACGAATGATATTTATTAGCAAAAAAGCTAATAACAAAGGTCGCATGTCAGAATTACAATGCGAAATATGAAAATGTGAAAACGACCGAGGCCCGAATTCATAATTGAATTGAACAAAAAGCTGTGGGTATTTAAAGTAGGTATCCGATGGTACGGAATAATTAAGCGCCTTTCCCGATGTGTACGAAATTTTAATGATGCACGTCTCTTTGTTAATTTTATACAACGAATTCGTTCCATTTATTTTATGATATCAACATATATTACTTGTTTTGATGTGACAATTTAATTTCGTGAAGGGTTTTGTTAAATAATTAATAGAGTGAAGTTTAAACAATGACATTAAAGGATCTATTAAGATAAACAATGAATTATTACGCTGAATGCGGATCT